GTTAACTTGAATGTTAAGGTAGTCTTTCTAACTTGCACGAATGAGAGAGATATCCGCTTTGGGACACTCTGACCTATCAGAGGTTGTTAATCAAAGCACTTGCTTGATGATTTTAACCTGTGTGGAAGAGGTCGGACTAGATCCCCCTGGGATTAGTCGTCTATTGATTGAGATACAACATTAGTTGTGTATTTCTCAAATCATAAGAAAAAAACTCGAATAGAAGAGACAGTGCAATGACAAAGCAAACATCACATTACCGTATTATATAAAATAGTACGACAATTCCCTAATAAACTTAGGGATACGAAAAGAAGTGTTCTTCTACAACCAACATACAAAGAGTGAAAAAACTCAAAGAAAATACAAACATCACGAATGACATCACACATAATAGATAGTAACATCAATCTTCTACTGATAGTACTTGCGAAGGTTGCCCACATTCCAAGCTCGGGGAAGCATTCTTCCGTTGGCATCTTTCAATTTGAAGGTTCCAGGCTTGACCATAGCTGCCACCAAGTAAGGACCTTCCCATAGTGGGGAGAGCTTATTACGTTGAGGTCCTTTTCCAGTAGCTTCGATGCTCCGCAGAACTAGAACCCCAATGGAAATAGTTTGAGGTTTTACTCTTCGATTGTAGTGACGAGCAATCCGTTGATGGTATGCAGCGACCCTGAGTGAGGCTTCATCCCTTGCTTCAGGGAGGAGATCTAGATTTGTCCTGAGTTTCTCCTCGTTGTTATTGAAGTCAAAAGTCTGAACTATGTTGCTTGGGACTCCGATATCCACTGGTATGACTGCTTCTGTACCGAAATAGAGGTTGAACGGAGTTTCTTCTATAGGAGTCCTGGCCGTGGTACGGTAAGCCCAGAGAACATTTGGGAGTTCTTCAACCCATTGCCCCCCAGCCTTCCCTAGGCGTGTCTTCAGCCCTTTCAGAATTGTCCGATTTGTAACTTCCGTTTTCCCATTTTCTTGAGGATGGGCGGCAGTCGTGTGGACGAGTTGAATGTGAAAATCTTTACAAAAAGTTGTAAAGATTTTTCTAGTAAACGGAGATCCATTGTCGATGATGACCTTTTGCTAGAATACCGAAGCGACAAATTATATTCTTCCATAAGAATTGTTTGGCATTTGCTTCAGTAATTTTTGTCAAGGGCTCTGCTTCCATCCATTTCGTGAAATAATCCACAGCCAGGATGATGAATTTTTGTTGTCCTGTGGCTGTTGGGAAGGGTCCCATTATATCAATTCCCCACTGGGCGAAAGGCCAAGGGCTCTGAAGTGATGCAAGTTCTAGAGCTGTAGCATGGGTGAGATTGGAATGCAATTGACAGTTTATGCACTTTCGTGTAAACTCAAGTGCGTCATGTTTCATTGTAGGCCAATAGAACCCCTGCCTCATGATTTTATAAGCCAAAGCTCTTCCTCCCAAATGCTCGCAACATACTCCTAAATAAACTTCTCGGAGTGCATAATCAGCTTCTGAAGGTGGGTGACACTTCATATATGGCCCGGTGAAAGCGCGCTTATACAACTCACCATCAATGATAGTGAAATTTGCTGCTCGTCTTCTAAGTCTTGTTGCAGCCGTGGGTTCTTCAGGCAGCACCCCATCTTGTAAGAAAGACAAAATGGGATTGATCCAAGACTCCTCCCTTATTTCATCGATCGATTGTATGACCCATGGACCTTGGATACTTGGAAAATGGATATCCTCAACACATTTTCTCTTATAGATGTCTCTCGTCGTCGATGTTACAAGTTTTGATAGAGCATCTACTCTTGCATTTTGCTCTTAGAGAACATGTATAATTTGATATTCTCCTATTCGGGCCAAAAGTAGTTTTACAAATTTGCAATATTGGGCTAGCTGCGGATTGTGGATATCAAATTCTCCTTCCACCTGAGAAGCGACTAGTTGTGAATCAGTGTGGATTACTAGATTCTACACCTCACAATTGACTGCTAGTCTTAGTCCAGCGATAAGAGCTTTGTATTCTGCCATGTTGTTTGTTGCCGGGAACTTGAGTCGGAGCCCATACTCAAGAGTAATCTCCTGCGGGATATTAACAAAATTCCAGCGCCAGAACTTCCAAAGGATCCATCAACATACAACATCCAACGCGGAGGAGAAGGCAAAGTACCTGATTGAATATCGGATACTAGAACGGTGCATTCAACCATGAAATCTACAAGCGCTTGAGATTTGATATCAGGTCTAGGCAAATAGTGAATGTCAAATTCTCGCAGTTCTACAGACCACTTGACGAGTATACCCGATGCTTCTGGTTTTTGCAGAATATTTTTCAGCGGCAGATTTATGTAAACCCCAATTGAGTGGGCTTCGAAGTAGGGGCGTAGTTTTCTGGCAGAATAAACTAGTGCCAATGTTGTTTTATCCATTAAGGGATAACGCCCCTCTGTTTCAGATAGGATTTTACTGACATAGTAGATGGGGCGTTGTATAGTATTCTCTTCTCGCCAAGACCGAACTGATGGCTTGGGCCGAAACAGCTATGTATAAATACAACTTTGCTCCGGGTGTTGGTTTAGAAAGTAGCGGTGGGGAAGCCAAATACTTTCGTAGCTGTTCGAAGGCTTCTTGGCATTCGGCTGTCCATTGGAACCCAGAGTTGCGGGCGCCTCTGAGTATTTTGAAGAAAGACAGATATTTGTCTCCTAAACGTGCCAGGAAACGAGACAATGCTGCAATTCTCCCATTCAGCCTTTGGACTTCCTTGATGTTCTTCGGGGGCATCATATCTCTTAATGCCTTGATCTTTTCGGGATTGGCTTCAATTCCTCTGTGGGTTACTATAAAACCTAGAAATTTTCCAGAAGCAACTCCGAAGACGCATTTGGCGGGGTTGAGTCGCATATTGTAACGTCTCAACAGATGGAAGCACTGCTCCAAGTCGGAGATATGTTGAGATTTTTCAAGACTCTTTACCAACATGTCATCGAGGTACACCTCCATGTTACGCCCAATAAGGGCTTTGAAAACCTTATTCATGAGGCGTTAGTAAGTTGCTCCAGTATTCTTGAGCCCGAAGGGCATTACCCGATAACAGTACAGTCCTCTGTCTGTTTGAAATACTGTTGCTTCCTCATCAGTCGGATTCATCTTGATTTGATTGTAACCCGAGTAGGCATCCATGAAACTCAACATTTGATGCCCAGAAGTGGTATCGACTAACTGGTCGATGCGCGGAAGAGGAAAACTGTCTTTTGGGCAGGCCTTGTTGAGGTCAGTATAGTCTATGCACATTCTCCATGCACCGCTCCCCTTTCGAACCAAGACGACATTTACCAGCCAAGTAGGATAATGCACTTCTCGTATGAATCCGGCTTTCAGAAGTTTGTCCACTTCTTGTTCGATCGCCTACTGACGATCTGGTGCAAAATTCCTTTTCTTCTAGATGATTGGTTTGTTCGCCGGATTGACCTTAAGGGAATGTACAATTATTTCAGGATTAATCCCGGGCATATTCGCCGGACTCCATGCAAAAATATCCTAATTTTCTCGTAGAAAATCTGTGAATATTTTCTTCTCGTCTTCTCAAAGAAGTGACCCAATTTGCACCGTCTTTAGAGAATGTTCTTTAGAGATAGATACAGTGGTGAGTTCTTCTACTGGAGAGGCTCTCTGAGGTATGTCTTCGTTCTGGAGATCAAAATTCTCAATGTTTATAGTATCAGTCGGGTGTGTTTTAACCTGCCTGAGATAGCAGGTTTGTGCTGTTTGTTGATCTCCGCACACCACACTAACTCCTGTCAGAGTGCGGAACTTCAGCTTGAGATGAGGGATAGATGTGACAATCCCAAAAATTGATTGGAGTGGCCTCCCAAAGATAGCGTTGTAAGCCGATTCGGACTTTACAACGACAAACTGACAGAGTGTGTAAATTGTCGGGGGAATTCTCCAAGCACAACTGAGAGATTGATTATCCCTTCTACTCGCACAGGTCGATTGTCAAATTCGTATAAAGGACCTGCCGCGGGTTGAAGCTTCTCTGTGGCGAGCCCCAAATTAAGGAAGGTAGAGTAGAACAGGATGTCTACTGAACTACCGTTGTCCACGAGACTTCTCTTAACATTGTAGCATGGGTCACCTATGCCTGCACTGACAACGAGAGGATCTTGGTGAGGGGTTTTCACTCCCTCCAAATCGAAATCATCAAAGGTGATGGTGTGATCTACACGAGCTTTCTTTGGAGTTGGAATTTCATCCACAACCAAAAAGACTTTATCGAATAGCAAAGGGCCTCCAGCTATTGTCTCAATTTCTCCAATTGTTATTCGATTATTTACTGGTGGCTTCTGTTGTCGATCTTGCCCCCCAGTGGGACGAGTTTCTTCTTGGGCAGGTGGATCCCGAATAAACTGCCGAAGATAACCTTGACGGACAAGCCTTTCAATTTCCTCCTTCAGCTGTCTACAGGCTTCTGTAGTGTGGCCACGACTACGATGGAAATGGAAGTATTGGTCCTGATTTTCTGTATTCGGCTTCAAGGGATGTGGCCACTTTACCGTATCTTGATCTCGAACAGCCATTAACACATTTGCTCGAGACGTATTGAGAGGAGTGTACTCTTTCTCCTGTCGAGGTTCTCTTCGTAGCAACGGAGGCCTCGAAGGTAGATTGTTCTTCCCTTACTTCTTTCGTTGCGAGGAAGAATTATCTGTCCCTGGTGCTCCCTTGCATTTTTCGGTAGATTATTCAAATTGTTTCCTATGGGCATTTATATCCTCATCTGTCGAGATTTGAGCTTCTACCCGGTGAATTAAATCGGCGTATGAAGAACAGTGTCGCGCATAAGTGCCGAATAGAAGGGGCTAGGGAGAAGGCCTTTAAGGAATACTCCTCTCAACAATGCAGGATCTACTCTTGGGATTTGTCAAGCTTCAGTGGAGAATTGCTGAAAATACTCCATTAAAGATTCTCCTTCGTTTTGGCGGATTACAGAGAGGTGAGAGGAATCCTTAGCAATTCTTCGGTTAGCTACGACTTGCTCGACAAAAGCTTTTGCGAATTTCATAAATGAAGGGATCGTCCCCGACGGAAGCGAGTAGAATCATGTGCGAGCCTGTCCTTTGAGAGTGGCAGAAAAGACTTGGCAGAGGAGAGCGTCCGAGGCTCGTTGAATGTGCATAATGGTTATGTAGTGGTCGATATGCTCGTACGGGTCGGACGTTCCGTCGTAAGACTCGATGCTGGGTAGCTTAAATCTAGCCGGAATGGGATGTTGTAGTATGACCTCAGTTAGAGGTGATGATTCCTGAAAGTCTCTCTGTCGGAGAGTTTGTCTCGCATCCCCTTAGGGGAATTCTTCCCTTACCAACCTTCGCAGTTCGTAACGCAGGGCGTCGTGAGGGAGCTACATAACGTGTGGTAGGGCAGAGTCTTCTGGGAGATCTGGGAGAATGCGAGGCTGCCGAATTGAGGGTGGAGGATGTGTAGAACTTGCTGTATTAGCAAGTTCATTATCCTGTCGCGGCTTAGGATGTCTCCTAGGTGGAGGAAGACGATTTTCTGCTTGAAGATGTTCGAATTGAACATCTTCACCTCGTGGTGAATCCTGAGGGAGGAGAATTTCCTACCTTTGTGCCAGTGTTGGTTGCCGATTTTCTCGCAGGAGTTGAAGGATATCATTTTGAGATTCTTCCATCTTGCGTATTCTTTCTTCTAAAGAAGGTTCCGAGGTCCCTTCGCCGGCAGCATTCTGCCCCCCAGGATCAAAAGATGCTGACATCGATCGTCTATGGTTGATAGACGGATTTCTGGACTGACGAGATTTGGAGTGAGAAGCTCCAACTAGACGACTGCTGCGCCTGTTAACCATTGCAGCAATACTTGAAGTTGTGGGATAGTGTTTCCCACAGACGGCGCCAAACTGTTGCGTACTAGAAAATACGCGGCGTACTAGAAAATACGCGGCGGTAGAGTTTGTAAATTCGCGTCCGAGCGTTGCATGTAAATTTAACACACAAACAGTAAAGAGAATATGAACACCGGCATTTATACGTGGAAAACCCAAAAAGGGAAAAAACCACGGGGCCTTGCCAAGTTGTAAAATTCCACTAGTGTTTTTGTAAATTACAAGAAACTGATTCGTCCCACAAATCGGGACAATCAGATTACAACTTGAAACAAATTTACAAAGTTTTGCAGAATCCTGTCGTTTTCCAAAAATCTGGCAGAGTTCCGACGTATTCAGGCGGCAGGAAGAGCTCCGGCGGTGGTCGAGGAGGAGAGGATTCGCCTTTTCCTTTTTTCCTTCTTCTCTTCTTCTTCTCTCTCTTCACTTGAGTCCCCTTTGTGATGAATAAGGGCCCTATTTATAGTTTTTATGGAGTGGCATATCTCGTAAATAGGTGTGAGATCATGGGCGAATAGGGAGTGATTTGAATGGACGACCGATATTGAACTGTTCGATCGTACACCGTTCGTTGGACATTTGGAAGCTTTAATGATGTCGGAATTTGGCGATCTTGGGCTCGTTGGATTCGTCTCGTCGAGCCGCTCGATTCGAGTATAAGATCGTTAAAATAGGAGACCGTTTTGGTAACTCAAATTGCGGTTTAAACCTTCCAACACCGCTTCGGGTCCTTGATTCGGGCTCATTTGGGCTCGGATTGGGTTGATCTTGGTGTCGTTGGGTTCGTATTTCCGAGACGCTCAGTTTGACTATAAGCTCGCTGAAATCGGAGTTCGGGTGCTCTCAGAATTAATTTTTGAAGTTTCGAACTAGCTTTTGCCTCGAGATTCGTGCATGATCAAGCTAATTTTATGGTGCCGTATCACATATAATCTGAGATTCTCTTTGCCATTATGCCTTGCATTTTAGCTTCGGTTTTAATATATCATAATATATAT